CCAATTTTGAGTAATTTCCAAATAGCTTGTAGGCTTTTAACGCTGTTTTTCCATAACCTCCAGTTTGAATAAAATTGTAATATAATTTGAAACAGGTAATTTTTCACAATACTCGGTAACATTTTAATCTGTGAGTTGTTTTTGATAGCCTTGTTGTTATTAAGCTGTCCATGGCTAGCGCCCAATTTACAGTGAAATAGTCACCTTTCGTGTCGCTTGAGCCGCTAGTGTCGGGAAAAATCGTGCCTTGGGAATAATAGAAGAATGAACCATATTGTTAATCTATAATATTTGCTAACTGTCATGGTAGAAAGAGCGTGGCGCAGCAGTGAACGAGCACGCTTCTCGGCAACGGGACAGGCGTGCTGAGTCACCTTGCATTTTTCTCCCTTTGGGTTCAGGTCACCACTGCTTTTTTCACTATGACATTAAAAGTCTGAATTTTAATTACCGTAAAACGGGGTATCTTTGATAATGCTGGTAACTTTGATTGTAGAATATATTGATTAAATTTACACTCTGCACTATTTCCGAATTGAAAATATTGTTTCCATTTTGTAGCATAGGGTTTCACCTTTGATATCGAATACAGTTTTTTGCAGTATGTTTTAAATATTTTCCAAATACCTGCAAAACAATTTTTTCTTGTATTTCGCCTGATTGAAAAAGCACTCATACAATCACTTATCAAATGAATTTCCTATATAGTCACGACAAATTCAATATTGTATTTTTATTGCTTATGATGTTTCTGATTAAATACTCATTCAAAGTTTCTTATTTCTTGATCAAAATGGTTTGCGGTTCTCGCATGGTTTTCTACATTCATTGAGTATTATCAAAGTAACCACAATACAAAAATCTGATGTTCGGCCACAAGACAATAAAAATAGTGCAAATGCAACAATTCCTGGTAAACATGTTACAACGAACAGACTCTAGGATCCCCAGTACTTGTTTAACAAAATTAAAATTTGAAAAACATTCATTGCTGTAAAAAATATTTATAATAAACTTCAAAAAACGATCATAGTCACCCCGTTTTAGGGGGTAATACCAGGAATACCAGGTGTCAGGAATACCATAAAGCATGTCACAAGAACTTCTTCTTCTTCTTCTTCTTCTTCTTCACATTTCAAGCTTATTGCATATCGCATATTAGCTTATTGCGTGCTCTCAACTTAGTGTTCTAGATGTACTTCCACCAGTTATTAATTGAGAGCATTCGATGCCTGTACAATTTTTGCATTGCTTTAATTGTGTGGCAAGTCCAATCATACTTCTATGCCCAGGGAAGTCGAGAAATTTTCCAACCCGAAAAATTCCTAGACCGAACCAGGAATTGAACCCAGCCACCTCCAGCATGGTCTTGCTTTGTAGCTGCGCCTTTACCGACTGAGCTAAGGGAGGCCCTAAGAACATCCTCGTCTTTATTAATTAATAACTAAATATCCTGATGTTTATTCTAACAATGATTTTTATGAAAGCTGTAGCCAGGCATGGACAATCATATACATTCATTTCGTACATTCATTTACATTCATTTGTCACTAAGTTTTTTCAGCAACTGTATTCCGTAAATTCCATATGAAGCTTTTATGGCTTTGATATTAGCTGCAACTTTTGTCAGTAGCTCAAATCTTTATCTCTTATGCATGACGAACTAGAGCGGGCAGAACTTATTATTGTTTCTCAGTGAATGTAATTTATATTCAATAAAAAAACAATGATGGGTTCTGTTCGCTCTGGTTCGTCATGTATAAGAGATACAGATTTGAGATATGGACTGTAACTAATATCAAAACCTACAAAAGCTTCATGCATCATTTTATCTAATTCTGTTGATGAAACATATTAGAGGGAAATGAATGTAACTGATTTCCCCTGCCTGGCTGTAGCTGAAAAAATTCAAAATAAATACAGATAACAATTTTTTCCATATATCATTATGGAGAAGGGATAGGAGAATGATTTCAAAAAGTTATCATATCCCATAGTAATTCCCAAATGACTCATACTACCAGGATGCAGAGATGGAAAAGTTCTCGAAAACTCACTATGACTCGCGAACTTTTCCCTTGGTGAACTTTGTGAAATATCACGAAATTTTCCAACACTGCCAGGATGTATTCACGATTTTGCCTGATTTTTACAGTTTTTGAACTATGACTAAATCAAATGAAAAGTAAATATCACTCAATTGTAGATAGAGCTAGAATAAGGGCCTAACAACTTCTAAACAATGACTTCTGTTGATGATTTTTAGGAATGCGACGCCCACGCAAACCAACTTCACCATATTATTGCAGATTTGGGAAGTGTTTTTCTATAAGAATTAAACAAGAGTTTATGATTTGAGTTGCTAAAAATTAACTACTACGTGACGTTACAACGTTTTGCACTTCACAATTACACTACTCAAATCACTCTTGATCAATTCTCATAGGAAATGTAACACACTTCCAGATCTGTAATAATTTTGAGGGGTAACTTTTAATTTATTTTTTAATTACAGTACAAAAACTGTTTAAAAACTGCAAAACCGTTATAACGTCACGTAGCATGCCAAATAAACTTCAGAGGGTAATTGCAGTCTGAGTGCAGTTCAAATGAACTCAAATTTTAGGAGAATGATCAGGAACAGATTTGGAGTCGGGGTGGAGCAAAATTGATATTTTGAACCACCCTAATATTCATAGACTCAGTAAAATATTCATAACGAGCCTATCCTAACAGCGGGAATTGCGCGATTCCAACACAATTTAAAACAACTAAATTAGTAGCCGCACTATTGGGGGGATAACCTTATGCTGATTTACATTGCATAATTTACAAAACCGCACTTTGGCAATTAGCTTCCCGCTGCGGTTCGATACACATCGATTGAGTGGCAGCCGGCAGCCAGTAGCTCTCTAGACCGCCAGCAACACTCTTTCGGGGTCATCTATCCATTCCGGACAAAGCATGGTCATAAACAAACGGTACCGAAAAGGGTCGAGGCGTGGGATTTTTATTTTCCTGTTCCTGTATCAACAATACTGATAGAACAAGACTTTTCCGGCTATGTAGATTCAACCGGATGGCAATTTAGGATTGTTTGTGTTACTAGATTGGATTTGAATTTGATCGGTGGCTACGGATTTGTGTTCATCAAGCTGACGTTTGGTATTGTTACTTCTCCCGAGTGGGTGAGATTGTAAAATCGTTTAGAGGGTTTGGTTATGGGCTGCATTTTGTTGATCTAAGTCCATTTAGTGTAATTCACGTGTTATATTATTTAGGCAGTCGAGCACGCATTATAAGTTTTAGCAAATACTAAACAGAAGGCACTCTGTCTAATATATGGAAGCAGAGACAAATCAGTAGAACATTTATGAATTTCAATTCAATTAAATGGAATGCAGATACACATGACAAATTGGTTTAAAGTTTTAAATGGCACATCCAAGCTCTGCCTAACCAGTATCCAATTTTTCCAATTAACAAGAAACAAATCGATATCCATTTTGTTTACCGTAAATCAAATCCTCACATCTAGTTCCAATGGCTAGACGCCCTCTGGCGAACGACCTTTCCTCATATATTCATATACTCACATCCGGTTGGAATGAACTGACACGAAATCGTCTTGTACAAGTTCGCCGTAGGGATTCCCTGTGCCTCCCCCAAGCATCTTCTTCTCGAAACTTGTTCCGGAACTGTTTGAATTTCTCATTTGAAAATAAGCACCCCGCCTGTCTGCTTCGCTTATATCTTCGTCGTCCCAATTCTATTTCAGGCGGTGGCGCCGGCCGGGACGCGTCGGGAGATGCATAAAGTATTCGCTTCGAGTGCTTGCTGTGTGTGTTTCTATCGGTACCTATGTGCATGTCGCCGGAGGGAGGAATAAATTTGATTTCAGCCGACAGAGCAGATGTGGAAAATTCTTCCATCTACGCTTTGTGCCTCGAGTTCTTAATTCTGTGTCACCATCCGCCACAGGTTTCCTTGTAAAAAGAAGAGAAAAGAAATCGGTTGGATAGATACCTACTCATCTATGCAAGCGAACAGTGGGTGGATATTGGAGAGGAGAGGGAACCAAAACGGAATGAAGTGATGGGAATCTGTCTCCCATGTTACACGTGCCGAAAAGCGTATAAACAGGTGGAAGCGAAAGTACCTTTCGGAAGAGATGCGGTGCACCCTCGGGATATAATCGGAACTTAATTATCGATAAAAGCGTTGGTAAAATGGATTGGATTTTTTTTTATGTTCGAAATCCCCAAAGATGAGTGAAATCTAATCATGCAAATTTGAGTAGAAAATGTATAAACCCGTAATGAAGTTTCAATCCTTGGAAGAGAAGACGAATCTTATGAAGGTATATGTAGGCCGCTATATTGTGCTTTACATCAATAATTGAGTCTTTAATTAAAACTTATAAAAAATTAATGCAGATTGCCTCAATGAGTTCATACAATTCGCCAAATCAAAGATAAGCTCATCGTTGGCTGGAATATCCAATTTCTCCTGTGAAAACATCTCGGTCATGTGATCTACCTCAGACCTAGGTCAACACAATAAACAATTTTGTATGAAGACAGTGACATGAAGGACTTAGCGCAAAAGCTAGCAAAAGAAATTAGATGCCCCATTAGCGTTGTTGAGTAGAGCTTCCTTATAAGCTGCTATCCACAATTGGACAAGCAGATATACCCAAATAGAAAGCACTTCCACCCCGAAGCTATTTGTTTATACGTTATTGCCATTTAGTCGGAAAAGCAAATAAATCACAAATGTCCAGAATCCAGCATGTATAACGTGATGATAGTGCTGCTTCTGCGACTGACGGACGGCCCGGCCCCCGAGCTTGGAAAGACATTTCCCAAGTCGCTATTAACATTCAGTCGTCTGACGACGACAGACAGCGCAGCGAGGAGGGCGCGAACTGGCAAAGCAATATAGTCTCCGGATAGGAATTTAATTACTAACTCCACTTCCACACGTTTCATTCTTTTCAGGTGCACCGACAGTGATTGCTCGGAACACGACGCCAGTGGCCTATGCGGGTTCACCTTTGCACCTGTCCGTGGAATTCTGTGCCAATCCGGCGGCGTACGCGGCACGATGGCTGCACGGCGATCTGGTCTACACACCTGGCAAGAAGTACGGCGATGACGTACTGGCCTATGGATTCATCGTAAGTATTTGCATACCAGGAAATGAGGTCTTGTTTGCGTTGGTCTTGGGGTGAATTCCTAGCCGCAGGTTATAAGTGTTTGATAATAATTTAGGCCATTGGTTCCCCCGTAGCAGGTCATTAATCAAAAATTTTACATTGAGAAATTGGTTTCTATCTAATGATTAGTCTAGGTCTAGGTCCACCCAACAAGCACCAGAAATATAACTACTAAAGATAATTTATGTTTTTCATACAGAAGATTACAACAAATTGATTTGATTAGTTGAGTAACATACGTGTAGGTCTGTTACAACCTAAAGCTAGGTTCATTTATCCATTGTGTGTTTAACTTTTTGCTAAGTTCAGTCCAATTCAATTCAATTTTGAGTCAGTTTTATCGTCCGTGTGTAATATTTGTCAAACAAAATTTCAAACGTAGACAAACCAGACAAACATTTCTTAGATTTATGAGATTTGATGAGACTGACACTGATGATGCACTTCAATCGTGTCGAAAATATACACTGATAAAATTTCAAAGATTGTTTTTATGTGTCGCACACATGAATTTTTGCAATGTGATCAACAAATAATATCTATGTGTCGGACACATACTTAATGTATGTACACATAAAAGCAATGTGTAACCACAAATACTATTCATTTGACTCATAAATTTCATATGTGCTTCTATGTGGATTCTGCTTATGTGTGGTCACTAGACTGATGCAAATTTTGACATTTTCACTCCACAGTGCTCAAAAGGTTCCAAATCGGGTCCTAATTAGTCTCCCAGAATTTGAACTCATTTGAAAAGAAACTGACTTGGCACAAACCATTTGAAGTTTATATGGAAATTACTATGGGAAATCCAAACCTTTTGTTCATCGTCTTCTTACCTTTTTCCATATTGCACTATTCAAAAATTCAAAAGCTATACTTATGGAAAATTTTCTCAGCTTCAACTTAGCAGAATATAGTTGTTGAGCCAAACGTCAAATAAAATAGTTATTAATTGTTTAAGAGATTGATAATCTTATGGCATGATCAAGCAGCTGTTTTGTGAGCAACACTGTATCTTGCAGTGTGACATAGTAGCCATGATTTTTGTGCTCTATTCCAAGCGCCAGAAACACCAATGTTGCCTGCTGAACAGTTGATTGAGCATAATCGTAAGACATTAGTGGCTTGAATTATTGATAACTTTTGATGCTTACATTATATTGAAAAGTAGTTCAGGACAAAGTTGTAGCTGAGAAAATTTTCTACGAATTCAGTTATCATTTTTTAAAGCAGAGCGATATGATAAGTTGTTAGATGGATATGAACAAAACATTTGGTTTTCCTATAGTAATTTCCATATAAACTTCAAATGGTTTGTGCCAAGTCAGTTTCTTATCAAATGAGTTCAAATTTCGGGAGACTAATCAAAACTCGATTTGGAACCGTTTGAGCACTGTGGAGCGAAAATGTCAAAATTTGCATCAGTCAAGTGGTCACATGAAAATCATGTGGAATTTTACATGGAAATTCGCCAATAAAAATGTGTGGAATTCTATTAGTGTAGTATAATATTACTAGCCAAAAAAGACAAAATTATCATTAATACAGTGCATGAACTGACATTACGCTACTTTTACTGTATTTGTTTATTTTTGTGGCCATAAAAATTACATGAGATTTTCGACATGATTGAAGTGCATCCTCTTGGATGTAACATTAAAATTTATTTTTTGCTGTGTTGCTGAGCATTTCCAGGAAAAACTTTTCGAATATGGGTAAAATCGAGAGACGTTTCACTCAGTCTGTTATAGGGTATCCCAGAAACTTGACACTTGACAACAAACAGCAGACAACTACTATCACGTCTAGTAGACCTGTATAAAACTGGCACGTCGGTAGCATTGGTGCTCAGCACGGAAAACAAGATCGACGGAAAAAACAAACCAAAAAGGAAAAAAAAAAAAAAACTGTTTTTGCTGCGTGCTGGTGTTCCGCCTCCCGGCCGAAAGGCGCTTGTCGAATGTAGTCGTCGTCGTGTTTGTGCGTTGAGGTTGTATTTCAGAAACCCAATCAAAGTGTGCCGTGGCCGCTTTTGGACGCGTTTGTTTCGGTCGCTGAAGTTGTCGGTTTTGATGTCAGCGCTGGTCGCAAGTTGATTTGGCCAGTGAGGAGCTGGCGCTGCGTCTTCCAGACTGTGTACTGGTGAAGTGAAGCCGTTCTTTCGCGAGTGATTGGTGATAGAAAGTAGACGCAGTCCTTTTTTTCTCTGCTGAGATCCCTCTAGTTGGAGCAGCTAGTGTGTGTTTCGTTGTTGATGAGGGTTTACGCTGCTGTGTGATCAGTGATGCCACATTTTATTGATTTTCATACTGTATTTTCATCGTAAACAATCTTTTAAATCTGTATCTGGCTGACAAGAATCTTTAAAAAAAAAATCTGTATTTTGGCAACAAGCCCAAAAACATAGTGTTGCCAAAATCAAACCGTGTCTTGTCCACCCATCTCGATGAGTCTCATCGTCGCCCACTGGTCACCATAGCCGGTCGAACTCCAGCCGAAACTAGAACCGCACTACCATTCATACTGGCGACAACGCTCTGATGAGACAACGAAACTTTACCCCCAAGCTCCTCCCCTGATCCTATCCTTCGACAGTGTACCTCTCTAACCTCGAGTAAGCCACGAGTATTCTGCCCAACTCCTACTAGACATAGAATTAAGTGAATTTTGTTACAAACAAAGAACAATGATATTGGCTCCGTAAAGCTAACGCGATTGAGCCTTCCAAATAAACGAACTAGTTTTAAAAAATATCGAACTGTGCCGAAATCGAACGGTTTTAATTTTAAATTTAATTTATGATTCCAATGATTATGGACCACCGCGAGTCATTACAAAGACGTTATTTATAATTAATACTTTATTAAAAATCCGTTTGATTTTGGCACGGTGCTAAAATTGAACCCCGAGCCAAAACGCACGGTTTTGTGGTTTTGTTTCCAAAATCGAACAGGCACTTTTATTTATTTATTATGGTCTCAGTGTGGATTTACCTTAATCTTCATTGAGTTCATTCATAGTTCAGATGGAGTTTGTTCAATTTTTAGAATCTTGAAAAATGACTAAAGTTTGCATTCTAAAGAATTTGCCTTTTTTAAATCACGAAATCCTATCATCTTGATTTTTAAGTGATTTGTATCTTTTCTACAATTTTGAAAATACAAAACATTAAGTTTCAGTAGTAGTGAGAGACAAATCTGCTTCCAGCGGAAAATTTCCTGAGCTTACTAAAATGACTTGTTTACCGAAATCATAGTTATATATAAATATAGTTAATTAAATATTGTATCTGTCATCATGTGGTATGGCTCATTAAATAAAAAGAAAGGGAAACTAATATCCCTTCCAACGAGGAATCAGAACATCTGAACATCAGAAGTCCATTCTAAAGATTCCAAGCTCATTCGAAGACAATACAATCATATTTTATTTAGTGAAGGTTTGATGCTTCAAGTTGCTCAAAAGTAAGAAACGATTTTTTATCAGAATTAATTATTATAAGAAAATATAAGATATGTTCTCCTTATTTAAAAAATCTGTATATTTTTCTAATATCTGTATTCTGTATATGCAGATATCTGTATCAAAATATTGAGAAAAAAAACTGTTTGGTTACAGATAAATCTGTATATGTGGCATCACTGTGGGTGAGGATGAGACGGCGAGAGCAGGGTTACCAAAACTACAGAAAAATCTATTTTTCATAGTTTTTAAAAATAATATTCTGTATTAACAGATTACAGATTTCTAGGATTTTAACAGATTGAACAGATTTTTAAAATATGATCAAACATTTTAAAAATAAAACTTGAGATGTTTAATGAAAAAAATATAATTTGCACTTCACTGTAATTTTATCATCACCAACTTTTATATCTATGCATGTTTTTTTTGGGGAATGAAAAAAATGGGACGAAAATCTGGACAATTTGGTGGATTGATACTTTTTTCAATAAAATCGACATTATTCTGCTTATACCATTCTATGACATCATGGCTGTAATGGCAGCTGACTAAGTCAAACCAGAACTTTACGGAATCTTCGTGTGATTGAATGAACGGCAAAATTATGTTCTGGAGACACTCCTCCTTGTAAAGTTGTCCATTCATAGTCGCTGCAGTGATGAAAATCTTTGTTTTCTTTCCGCAACTGCAGATGCCATGCCAAATAATCAACTTGCGAGCGAATTTATCTGCAAAGACAAATTTGAATTTATCCGGAGCACCCCCTTTACGTTTAGCAAAGTACAATTTTTGGCCCGGGATTTGCCCAAAGTTCATTTTTACGTAAGTTTCATTGTCCATCAAAATGTGAGTGTGCAGATTTTTTTCACGTCTGTCACGTTCCATCTTCGATAATTTTTAAACAACAATCCTTTTGAAATTTTCACTACTAAATAAACAATTCTTTCGGATCAAAACGGTGTCAATAGTTTCTTGCTACGACAACTAGAGGTGCTACAGTAATTAATAAGAAGCAGCCATATACTAACTGGAACAGACTTTATTATAGTGTGTATCGAATAAAACAGCAAAAAATACATCGGTCGGTTTTCATCTCTTTTCATGGTCGGTTTTCATCTCTTTTTGCCAGTGGTGGCGGGGGGGGGGACACCCCTCACCATCCCTCTCCAAAGGGGGAGTTTGGTAAAGAGAGATGAAAAACCGATTTGTACCTTCTTTAAAAGTTGTCCTAGCTCGCTTGTCTAATATCTATATACAATCTTCACACTGCCGTACTCTAACGGAACTATCAACTCTTTGCTTTCATCTACTCCATCTATCGTATAAAAATTACCACTACAGTCTGTTATTTGAAATTAGCATCTTCAACTATGTAAATCGTTGACTTCACGTAGAAGTAATACTAAAAAACATATAGTCAAAGCAAAAAAGGTTGCCTTCCATTTAATTCCACAAAATCAATTTTGAAAAATACGTATTTCAACTATAAT